GGACCCGCAATACAAGGGCGCCGCTTACCAAGCCGAGACCGTAAGAACCGTAACCGCGGCGTAAGAAGCCGTATAAAGGTTGAGTGGAGCTGTTCACGGATATTAAGCGCTTGGTTGCCAAAGCGTGCCCAGTCATTGGCAAATGGACAAGGGAAATTGTGGCCCAAAAAAAAGTTTTGGAACTGACTCGAGCGGAAGGAACTCGTCTTTCTTGCCAAACAGCGGCAACCTCAATCGTTGGGAGAAGCGGTGGGAACAACCTCAGAACTCTAGTTGTACATGTAGAACGACCTCGGAGTATTCTCTTCGCCCCGGCGGGAGCGGTTATGGATGCACCAGCAAGCGCAGCACCTAAAAGTGCAGTCGTTGCCAAGGCTGGAAGAGGACTGGCTCCAGATCAACAACATACGGACTGAAACCAGCCACACCAATTGGTATGCGACCGTAAGATTGTGTCAAGCATCTCGTGGAAGACTTGCCTAGGGTCCAGAGGGCATGCAAGGAAAGCTTATGTTGGAGCTGTCAACACCGCGCCACCAGCAACGGTCCTGCCCCAATCGAAGAAGAACAAATGTCATTGGGAACTCAACTCCTGCTTACCACAATGGCCAGCAGCACGAGGTGAGCAATAATTAAACCAGCGAAGGTCATTTCTCATAGGCTTGAACGAACCGCCCGTAAAATTGCCTACTGTACGTCCAGCTCCACTGGGGATGACCCGAGTATGAATGTGATTGATGGTGGCCGGAATATTGCGGTGCTCCCGCATACTGGGTCTGCTCTAATGATACCAAGGCGAAGAAGAGACGCGCAACATGAGGCACAAAAAACGATAGACCTGCAGACCGTATCTAGAACCACGCTGAAATTGGATAGTGCACTAAGTTGCACTAATGGTCGAGCTGAACGTAGCCGGCCCGTAGCCGGCCCGTCGTCGAATACTGACGAGTGGACGTACTCAGCCAAATGGAGTGTGTAATCGATCTGGATCAGAGCACTGCAGCGTTCAGGAGTATCATTAATTTATTCCTAAAAAACGACTTGGTGAAGAAATCGAAGTGTCGTCGGTTCAGTTCAGGGAGACAGTCACAACACTAGCTGAAGTTGCTGATCCCGGTTCATATCGCACAAAAACAGGCTCATTCGAACCCAATGGAGAAAATACGATTCGATACAGACTGCTTGTGGCAACGGCGCTAACGTAGCCTTGAGATGGGAGATTTGCCATCCAGATCCTAAATATAATCCCGGCATTGGCCAGACTTTATTCGAATGCAGCAGTTTAACATCAGGTTTCCGGAAGTGTCACTCCGTTAGCGTACTCGAAGTCGAAACTCTATTGCCCGGTTGCCGTGGCATCAACTCAGCACTAACGAGACGAGACAGTTGGTTGCCCTAATTCTAGAGTTTCACGTTTTATTTTTTTTCGCGGTGAGCATCTCGGCTGAACGAATCAGACTTGACCTCAGACATGGGGAACTGCCGATTGATCCGCCAAACTCATCACCTGATTTCTTTCCGTCAAAGGGAATGGGCAGAAACCCTGACTGAAGGAATGTTGACGAATTCGATGATCGAGCCGTGGGCTTCACATTTAATGCTCGTGAAGAAGAAG